CCCAAAGTGCTGGGATTACAGGCTTGAGCCACCGCGCCCGGCCTGGACTGCCTTTCTAACCTAGGTTTGGAAGTTACATGGTGTCACATCTGCTAGAGTGTCTGTCACAGCAGTAATACAGGCCCACCCCACCAATTTCAAAGGGAAATAGACTCCACCTCTTTTTTTTTTTTTTTTTTTTGTGGGGGGGTGGTAGAGATGGGGTCTCGGGGGTCTCCTTATGACGCCCAGGCTGGTTTTAAACTCCTGAGCTCAAGCAGTCCTCCCTCCTCAGCCTCTCAAAAGTGCTGGGATTACAGCATGAGCCTCTGAACCTGGCCTGGACTGTACCTCCTGACAAGAGAGTAGCAAGGTTCTGGAAATACTGTGACTAGTTTTTGGAATCACAATCTGGCACAGCTCATCAGCTTTCCATTTTGGAATCAGTAAACAAGAGGAAAGGAAATAATCCCCAATACTAGGCTCATCATTCTGGGGTTTTGTTGTTGTTTTTTTTTTTGTCTCCAGTCTTGGCCCCACAATTCTTCACTGCCCTGGTAGCTCTTTGATGCCTTTAAAAAATGTTTTCCCAGCTTTTCAAGTTCTCAGTGAAAAAGGATTGCTACCAAACAACACAGTTTTCCTCTCTGGAAAGGGAGGCTTGGCCAGTGCTTTTAGAATGTACACAATATAAAACCCACATCCCCAAAGTAACATACAGTATATTTACTCATAGACTATGTAAACATTAAACACTATACACATGAAGTTTTAGAAATATGTAAGAAATAACTTTTAACAATGATGAAAAATGTATATAAACAGTGATTTCAACTTTATAAAAGGTGTGTGTGCATGTAGAGAAGCATTGGAATTGTCTATGGGGAGAGTTGCTTCAAAGTTAAAGGCAGTTTTGTATACTTTTTTGTAAAGTTAGTCACTGATATGCCCCCCACCTCCACAGTTTATTATAAAAACTTTCAAACATACAGCCAGGTAGAAATAATTTTACAGTGAACATTTGTATAACTACCACATAGATTCTACCATTAGCATCTTACTATATCACACATCTGTTCATCTATCCATTCCTGTATGTCAATCTATCGTATTTTTCATATATTTCAAAGTAAGTTGCAGCATCAGTAGTACACCTCCCCCTAAATACTTCAGAATGCATTTCTTTTTTTTTTTTTTTTTTTTTTTGAGACGGAGTCTTGCTCTGTGCCCCAGGCTGGAGTGCAGTAGCGCGATCTCGGCTCACTGCAAGCTCCGCCCCCCTGGGTTCACGCCATTCTCCTGCCTCAGCCTCCCGAGTAGCTGGGACTACAGGCACCCACCACCTCGCCCGGCTAATTTTCTTGTATTTTTTTAGTAGAGACGGGGTTTCACCGTGTTAGCCAGGATAGTCTCGATCTCCTGACCTCGTGATCCACCCGTCTCGGCCTCCCAAAGTGCTGGGATTACAGGCTTGAGCCACCGCGCCCGGCCGAGAATGCATTTCAATAACTAGAGTTCATTTTCAGTTTGCAATTTTTTTTTTTTTTCCTTTTCAGGCACAGTCTACATACAATGCCATCCACAGATGTTAAATGTAATTTTCTGAGTTTTGACAGATACATAAGTCTATAAATGGTGACATTTAAAAACCAGAACTGGGATTTTCTTTTTTCAAATCCTTACTTGCTCAATTGAAATTAGTGTGAGATGCCTTCTGCCCTGAGCAGTTTGTACAGCAGGCCTATGCCTACAGGGGTGGGCAGGGCCAAGTTTTGTCCAATGTGTGGGGCTAGGATTGGGGCTAGGACTAGGACTGTGTAGCTGGAGGCAAAGAATCTGGAAACATTTCTTCTCCTTATATCACTGGTAGCCAGTGCAGGGAGAATCAGGGCAAAGGCCGGGCGTAGTGGCTCATCCCTGTAATTCCAGCACTTTGGGAGGCTTAGGTGGGTGGATCACCTGGGGTCAGGAGTTTGAGACCAGCCTGGCCAACGCGGTGAAACCCTGTCTCTAGTAAAAATGCAAAAAAAATTAGCTGGGGGTGGTGGCGGGCCCTGTAATCCAGCTACTCGGAAGGCCGAGGCAGGAGAATCGCTTGGTTGCTTGAACCCAGGAGGCGGAGGTTGCAGTGAGCTGAGATGGCGCCATTTCTCTCCAGCCTGGGCAACAAGAGGGAAACTTCGTCTTAAAAAAAAAAAAGAAAGAATCAGGGCGAAGGCTCCTACAACTCACCTTCTCAGGGTAAGGGGCTGTATGTCCTGTCTCTTTTAGATACAAAGTTTGAGTAAAAGACTGTTAGGGTTGAATAGTGGCCTGCAAAGGGACTTGGCTCTCATTTACTTCACCTTTCTATCTTATTGCCTTGCTTTATTTTCATTTCAGCATTTAGGAAATTTTCCTGTTCATTTGTTTGTCTGTGTGCCTATCCAGAATGTAAGCTCCTGAGAGCGGAGGCCTCTTCTGTCCTCTTCTGTCTTATTCCCTGCTGTGTCCAGCACATGGTCTGCACTCAATAAGTATTTGTTGCGAGAATGACTCATTGTTCCATTTACTAGAAGGGGAAAGGAGGCCCCGAGAGGGGAAGTGACTTGCCTAAAGAAACAGGAGTCCTTTCCCCCCATCCTCCAGCTCTCCTGGTCCTCTCCTTTGCTCATAAACCCTGTGACTATTGGGGTACCTGTGGGGTGGCTGAGAAATGCCTACCTGTAGGTATGTGCTCCTATGGGCTGGGACTAATGCAGGACTAGGAGGAGGAGGGTTCTGCAGTTCCCCATTTGGGTAGGCTTGGGCACAGGAAACTGCTTCCCCTCCCTTCCTCAGTTCTCTTCTCTCCCAGGATAACCCTTTACTCTGTGATGATGATGGGTGAGGGCGCTCAGGACACTCTGGGAGCCAAGTAGGATGGAGGGCTGGGCAGGTCTCTACAGGCAGGCAGTTGAGGAGGGGGCTCTCTCTTCTTCCAATGGAAACAGCATCTGTGTGGTTGCTGAGCTGAACCCTTCTTCCCAGAGGGTCTCCAGGGTCTAATTCTGTCACCCCTGTGCACACACCACAAATGCTTTGACCATAGTGCAGCTGTCTCATGGGGAGAAAGGACTTTCATTTCCTGAGAATGGGTTACTTGCCAAGCTGAACATGCCTAATTCTCAATACAGCCCTGGGAAGTTCCAGGAAGAGTTGCAGAGGGAGGCTCAGGTCACCCAGCACATGGTGGGGCTGGAGACTTGGGCTCTCTGACTACCAAGCCCGACAACAATTTTCCCAAGTGTGGTTATATCCAAATGGGGTCCTTCAGATAGTCTCAAAAATGAACACTTACTGCAATCACTATTTCAATTATATTGAAAATATAAGTAGCATGTCAACCCCTTCTAGGGTAACACAAATAAACTACAAGTAAAAAACTAATCAACAAAAAGAAACATATTAAGAAATAATAGTGTAAATTAGATATAAGACAAAAGTAAGCCGGTGGAATTTGGTTCTAGAGCATAGGGCTGCCATCCTAGCTACTGGGGTACCTCCTGCGCTTGCAGTCATTACTTGTTAGGGGTTTTCACACTTTGACTTCCAGCTTTTCACTTTTCCATTCGGTGTCGGGGTATAGATTGAGTTTGGACTTCCTGAGAAATGTGAATGCTGGGTGTAGGAAAGGATCCACCCTCACTGGGGTCTGACTGTTAGGAGACTAGGCGTGTGGACTCTGGGCCTTTGGGCTGGAGTGTCTCTTGGTCAGAGTTGTCTTGGGTTCGGCCATTTCACCCACACCTCTAGGCTGGTCCTGCTGAGAGGGAGAGAGAGTGTCACAACTCCCACTCAAGGAGAGACTTCCCTGCTGGGGAGGGGATAGCCTGAGGCCCGCCCCACCCATATTCCCAGGCCATGGCTCTGGTTAGCATGGACTAAATTATTCCACAATACGGAGGAGTGGGGCACAGAGTCCTAAACCGGCCTGGGTTGCGTGAGGGGGCCTCAGGGGCTGCCCGGTCTGGAGGAGAGACTCACTGCCACCTACCCCGGGAACCGAAGACCCTGGGTCGGGGATGAAGCGTCCCCTACCCGCAAGCTCGGTTTGCGCGCTGCTGTGCAAATCTGTCTATTGCCTGCAGACGCCCAGCCGCTCGCCCTGCGCGCCCAGGGGCCCCTACTTGGGAAATCCGGCGAAATGTCGCATTTGCTACCACCTATCACGACTGCGTAATCGGCTTTCAGCCGCAGACGCTCAAGTCCTGCAGCAGCCGCGGGGATCCGCGTAGGAACCTGCTGCCACTGGATGCACTGAGCGATTGCTTCGGGGGTGCCACGCGCCAGACGCGGTGCCGGCAGCGCCGGGAAAGGGGTACGCGCCCCAACCCCGGCCTGGGGAGGGCGCACTCTGGCTCTTCTCTGAGTTTTGCGCTTCCCCTGCCCCGTCAGGCCTATCGCAAAAGGCACCCCCATCGCAGACCACCACGTGTTGTGCTTCTACTCAGCTCGGTGGCGATCAGGGCCCTAGCATGCGCATCTGGAAAGCCGCGGAGATTACCCTGGAGCTCGGGTGGGGACGGCGTGGGCTGACTTGATGTAAGATGACACCCACGGAGCCAGACCCGTTCTAGGGACTTGACAGGTTCCTCTCCCTCCCCAGTGAGACCCGTCGTTCAACCTGCAGCAATTAGGGGAGGGAAAAAAAGACCCACAGTATTACGTTTGGAGAGGATTAGGAAGATGGCTCTCGAGTTCCATGCCGCCCTGGTGGCTAGACATTGGTGTAGTTTGTCCCTGGCCTCGGTTTCCTCATCTGTAAACTGGGAAGAAGGCCCAAGTCCTGGGGCCTGTGACTGTAGAGTGGCGGAAGGCACTGGTGCACCCGCGGCCAGTCCTTCCGGGGTCCAGCTTCCCGAAGGATTGGGCGGCCCCGGGGCGAACCCCTCCCGAGCTATCTGGAGACCGTGGAACCGGGTTCGGGGCCCCAGCCAGTGAGCTTCCAGCGGTGCACAAGGGCGGGGCCCGCGCGGGCGGGAGACGCCCGTTCGCTGTCGGCCAACCAGCGCCTGTCTCTGAACAGCCAATGAACACGCGTCTTACAGCCAAGGCCAGGTCCGGAGCGAGGCTGCGGCGAGTGCGGCGCTGACAGAGACGCGCGCGCGCGCGATCGCGCTGGGACCCCGGCCGCTGCCGCCATCACCGCCGCCCGCCCAGTCTCCCCTCAGCCGCTTCCCCTCGCCATGGAGGCGAGGCCGCCGCCGCCGCCGCGGGGCTCGGAGCCGCGGGCCGGGCGGCGGCCCTGAGGGCGAGTGGCGGCCCGAAACGCCGCCGCGGAGCCGAGGCGGAGCCGCTCTCCTCGTCCCCAGCGGTCCCGCCCAACGCCAGACTCTGTGAGTGTTCGCGGCCGCTGCGCCCGGGTGGGCTTCGGAAGGGGGGGCGGCTCCCGGGGGCGGTGGGAGGGGTCCCGGGCCCGAGCCAGGAGCCCGGAGCCCGGAACCCGGAGCCCTCAGCCCTCAGCCTTCAGCCCTCAGCCCTCTTTTCCGGGTGGAAGCCTGCGGGCGCCTGCAATTTGATTGTGCATCCTTGCGGGTCCGTCGTGGGGAGGGGATCCCCGGAAACATGCCGGCCCGGGCACCGACCCCTCGCGACTGCCCAGGAACTTTGCGTGCGTCCTCCTGGGACCAGGCCAGGGCACTGCCAGAGTTCATTCTCAGAGAAGAAACTTAGAATGGCGAGAACAGAATTTGCTCAAGTCCATTTAATGGGAGGAAAGAGGAAAACTCCTGGCATGAGAAAATTTGCTTTTGCAGTGACCAACTTTTCTTTCCCTTCAAGTCCACCTCCCTCGGTCCCCCGGCCCGTCTCCCAGGCCCCTCTCCTTGCCGCCCTCTCCCAACTGTTGAGGCTATTTAAGAAGGGAAATAAGGGCTGAGAGCTGCCCAGAATTCAGAATAGGCCAATTGAGAACGCAGGTCCCCTCCATTTTTACTTTCGGTAAATAAAAAAAAAAATTTGAAAAAATTAGTTCCTGATTATATCTCCTGAAGATTAAAAAAAAAAAAAAAATAGCAGAGCTGAGTTCTGTCTTGAGGGTTTTGTTTTTATTTTTGAGATCTCTGATGATATTTGTAAGACAGGAAAGGAAGATGTGCAGATCCACCCTCTGCAGGGTGAACACCATCAGAAGCTTTTGCCCAGGAGAGGGATTCCGGCTCTAGAACCAGTCACATCACCCCGGAGACGGCTTCGTTTGCCACCTGCTAGCTGTGCAGGCAGCCGGAGAAACAGAAGATGGTGGGCGAGAGGAGGACTGACTAGGAAAGGGCGAACATCTTCCTGCCTGGCCACTCCTTTCAGAAACACAGATCTGATGCTGTCACTTGTTTACTTAAAAACTCCCTCGCTTTTCTTTTTCCCATGGGATGAATGAAGCCTAAAATGCCTTATCAGGTCATACAAAGCCCTTGACAATCTTGCCTCAGTTTACTCCTTTTAGATTAATCTAATCCTTCAATTCTCCTTCCCCTCATCCCCCTTGCTGGCTATTATTCAGAGCTGCTTGACTGCTCCATCACATGTTGGGATGTTTTTGTTTTATGTGATCCTCTTTCTTCCCCACCTTTACCTGCCAAGCTCCACTTTTTCTTTTAAAGTTCTTCTCATTTGAGAAGCTTCTTGTGGGCAGGAGCTGTGTCTTGCCCACCTTTCTGTCTCCCATGCTGGGAGAATTCTTCCTCCAAGTTGTCTTGTAGATTCTTTCCAGTCTCTTATGCCCAGGCTCTGTTTATTTCCCGGTATCCACTTCCCAAGAGATTTTTTCGTGTTTTAAAGGCCTGCTTCAAGTACATGCCCAGGACTTTTAGTATTTCTGCTTCCACACTTCTGCATGTCCATCCCACCCAGGCCTTATAAGCAGTCAGCGGGTGGGAACTGGTAGGTCCCATATCCCACTGGCCTCCAAAATGTGTCTGAAAGACTAAAAGCCGTTCAGTCTCTTTTCACCTCTACCTGCTCAAAGCGGCCTGGCTGATAACGTGCATTGTAAGGCATGGTGGGATCCGGGGGGCTGTTCTCTGTTTAGCCACTAAACATCTGGGTGAAATACAGAACCAGAAAAACCAATCCTCTGGCTTAAGTACGTTCATGTGCCTTCATTTTGTCAGATGAATTGCTTGGGATACAATAGTGAAGAAGTCAGTCCTTACCTTTGAGGAGCTCAGAGTCTAATGTAGGACAGGTGGATATAAATACATCACAGGTGCTATAAGATTGTAATAATAATAGCTATATTTTATTTGCCTTGTGACAAGCTATGTAATAAATGTTTTCCATGAATTCCCTCAGTCTTTTCAAGTCATAAAAGGGCTTATTCCTACTCTACAGGGTTGGAAACTGAGGCCAAACAGTGGGCAAATGAGGGAATAGTCAAGATTTGAATTTTGGCAATGTATTTCCAGAGCCTCTGCCAGGCTGTGCAGGGAGCATCCCCTGCCTGGGTGATTTGGGAAAGCTTTCCTGGGACAGGGGATTCTTCAGATCATGAAAGATGCATAGGAGTTTTTCCATGTTGGACTGCACACATAGGCAAGAGGGAGCAGCACAAGCAGACTTGGTGGTGGAAGGAATCCACTGTCCTTGGGGAGGAGGGAAGAGGTTAATCATAGCTGGATCAGGTAGCTGGAGAGCTACTAGAGGATTTAAAGGAGGCCAGGGACTTGGGCTGAAAGAGTTTTGGAAAGATCATTTGGGGGCATTATAGGACCAAATGCAGATGTTCCTGCAATATAGGAGGCACTGGTCAGGTCTGACAGAGGTAGAATCACAGCCTCTTAGATCCAGAGGAAGGTGTAGAGAGAATCCTGCTCCATTTTGGGAAAATATAATTAATGCAGATGAGAGAAAAATTCAAAAGTTCTAGCAATACAAAAGAGTATATAGAGAAGAATGTCCCTCCTACCCTGGCCCCAAGTCTCCTGTCTCCCTAACCTCCTCCCCAGAGATGGCTGAAGTTTTCAGTTTATATGGCCTTCCGTAGACACTGTTCCTTTATAAATGTGTGCCTGCTTGTCCATACTCCTCCCACCATGGGACGTACCACTCACACCTTACTGGGTTTTTTTTACTTAACATATTTAGGAAATCATTCTATTATCAATATATAAAGAGAGTTATTTGTTCTTTCTGTTGACATTCTTTTACTTGTTTAATTGTATGGCTGTACTGTAACATCTTTGGGTTAAATATTTGTTTCCAGGTTCTTATATTACAGCAATACAATGAATGTCCTTGTACATACTGTGTTACGTGCTCATTTGCAAAGTTATCTGAACAATATGCTTTTAGAAGTGGAATTACTGGGTCAAGGGATATGTCTGCATTTTTGATTTGCAGACATAGAGCCAAACTGTCACCTGTTTTCAGGCTATTGTACCAACAGCCTGTTGTATCCTCTCCCCCAAAATGTGTGGCTGGGTAGATGATCTTCAGAGAGTTCAGGAGGATCAACTATGATGCTTTTTCAGCTATTATATGCTTACTTTTCCTCCACAAATCCTCCCCCTACCCTATGCGATTCTAGCCAGTTTATTCGAATCTACAGAGGGAGATGTTGAGGCTCAGAAGGATAAAAGTAACTTGTGCAAGATGATCAGTGTGGTTGGTGGTGGGTTTTTTGCTTTGTATTTTTGCACCCCGCATGTTTGTATTTGCCAGCACCTTTCATTGGAGGTGCTCAGTGTCAGCTTGTAAACATTATTGCATTGTTTTTCTCCGTTTTCACATGGAAAAAAATGAGATGCAGGTGAAGTTTGAGTTATGAGAGGGAAACTGGCCAAATATAGAATCTTGTCATTTTACTTTCCAGTGCAATAACTAATAAATGTTTCCAAATGCCAAAGCTGAAGAAATGTTTTTTGTTTGTTTGTTTTTTGAGATGGAGTTTTGCTCTTGTTGGCCAGGCTGGAGTGCAATGTCGCTGTCTTGGCTCACGCAACCTCTGCCTCCCGGGTTCAAGCGTTTCTCCTGAGCCTCCTGAGTAGCTGGGATTATAGGCATGTGCCACCACGCCTGGATAATTTTGTATTTTTAGTAAAGACGAGTTTTCTCCATGTTGGTGAGGCTGGTCTTGAACTCCTGACCTCAGGTGATCTGCCTGCCTTGGCCTCCCAAAATGCTGGGATTATAGGCGTGAGCCACCGTGCCCGGTGAAGAAATGGTTTTTTAGTGAGTCTGAGTACAACAAAAATAGCAATAATATAACACTAACTTAATAAAACTGAACAGCAAGCCCAAAAATAGCCCAACATTAAAATTTATTTTAATGTATTCTCTATAGAAAAGAGAATCCATTAAATGTAAAACTATATTTATTTTACTCTAAATTCACATCCATTTGTGTCAGTGTACAAGACATAGTTTTTATAGTAGCAGTCAGTACATACAGAATATGATTTTATGATTTTTGAATTCTTGAATAGCATAAAATATTTTATATTTACTCATTTAAGTATTTGTTCATTTAAAATCAGACTGGGTACGGTGGCTCACGCCTGTAAATCCCAGCACTTTGGGAGGCCAAGGAGGGCGGATCACGAGGTCAAGAAATCAAGACCATCTTGGCCAACATGGTGAAACCCTATCTCTACTGAAAATACAAAAATTAGCTGGGTGTGGTGGCACGTGCCTGTAATCCCAGCTACTTGGGAGGCTAAGGCATGAGGATCACTTGAACCCAAGAGACAGAGGTTGCAGTGAGCCAAGATCTTGCCACTGCATTCCAGCCTGGTGACAGAGTGAGACTCCATCTCAAAAAAAAAAAAAAAATCACAGTATAGTATTCCATTCATTGACAACTGTAGTTTTTTTAATTTGTTTTTGAGACAAGGTCTCACTCTGCTACCCAGGCTGGAGTGCAGTGGCATGATCACAGCTCACTGCAACCTTGATCTCCTGGGCTAAATGATCTTCCCATCTCAGCCACCCAAATAGCTGGGACTGCACAGGTCTGTGCCACCACAACCAGCTGATTTTTTAATTTTTTGTAGAGACATTCTCATGTTGCCCAGGCTGGTCTTGAACTCCTGGACTCAAGTGATCCACCCACCTTGGCCTCCCAAAGTGCTGGAATTATAGGTGTGAGCCACCATTCTCAGCCAACAGCTGTAGTTGGTGCAATCCTTTTTATTCTTTTTATTTTTTCTACCTTTTTACTATTATAAATGGTACTTTTATACCTCTTATTCAAATACTTCTTTTGAATTATTTTCTTGTACTCTTACTCCCAGCCTGGGCTCACCAAGTCAGAGGATACAGTTTCGGTGCCTAATTGCAATCTGGAAAGGTTGAACTAGTTTCCAACACTATCAGCAATTTATGGGGCCATTTCTTGACA